CAACAAACCACTTTCATGCACGGCAGATATAAAATTTATTTAGATCACTGCAACTGAAGATACACTAAGAATATTTGTTAACACCTGAACACGTATGTATGATCTGCCTTATCTCCTTCATGTGCTTCTGCTGCAGCAGCTTCACTTAGAGCTATGCACCATTTTTTCCTCCCTACCTATCCCAGCAAAACTGGTAATAATCAAACAGATTCAGAGCATCCCTTCTGCAATAGCTCCACAGCTCAGAAGGGGCAGCTCAGCCATGGAAAATGCCTCACCAGATCCAAAACTCTGTATTTCCCCATCTCATACACCAGCTTGCGCCTCACGCAAATATTACAAGAACACCATCATATTTCATGATCAGACAGGCAGCAAAATCAAGAAGGTTAACTCCTAAGTCTTTTTTTTTTTTTATCTTGTTGCTGCACTGTCCCACATAGGAAGCAAACAGATGGAGTTTTCTTTAACTAAAACACCCTGCCATTGAATTTAAAAGCAAAATCTTTGGAGTTTTCAAGTGGACTGTGCTAATATTCCTATGCCTCAACAAAACCGTAGATCTGACATGCTTTGACTCCATACCCTACTTTACATGCTTTATACCAAAGCCAGTAAAATAATTCCTCAGCCTTTACGTGTAATTTCTAACTGAATATACTACATGTCACTCCTGAATAGCTTGCTAGCTCATGACTCTAAAAAGCCCCACACTGTTTTGAACACCAAGTCTATCACTAATGATGAAGTCCAACACACTTTAAATCACAGACGTATTTGAAAAGTGATACTCAACAAAGCATCGTGAAGAGAAATGGGAGGCACACGTTTCGCTGCCAGCAGCTCAAAGTCAACAGAAAAACAGAGCTAAAATAAATACAGCAGTGCACCACACTACAGCTTATGCCAAATAGACTACAGAGGAATGACCGTACGTGGTCTTATTCTTTAAGTCATGCACAGAAAGGCTATTAAACAAGGGCAGAAAGTTTATCACTAAGCAAGGATGTGATTGGCTTTATTTCCCACTGTAATTTTATAAAGACATTTGGAGCTCAAAACAGGGATTGACCGCAGGGCATCAGAGGACAGCATCTGGCTTTCTGAAATGCCCCTGAGGCAACAGTATGTTAACGTGGCTGTGTTATTAAACCTGAATTTTAAGGGACAGCTCAGAGGGCGGATTAGCCATTGGCAGACATGCTCTACTACATGAAAAAGAATCCACCTCTCTCAGAGGGTGCTAAACCTCTACGTCCTCCACTCCATAAAGGCAAAGGCCAGTATTTCAAGTTTGAATGCCCAGAACTAGGTAGAGCATGATGCCAATATTGAGAAGGGTTGAGCTCACCCTGCTTTTCTGTCTGAAATTAAAGCCCATTAATTGAAAGAATACACCCCACCTCAATTCACTGAACAGGGGCTGTAACTGAAGAAATCAGGAGAGCGGCAGCATTGCCTTCCTGTAGCACCTACCCAGTGAAACACCACCTCTGTTTAACGATCTTTGTCAGCTTCCTTTACCATAAGGACTCCTCCGAATGTCATCCTTAATTTAAAAACCAGAACTCATGGACTACCCCTAGCTCTGAAAATAGCCTTCGGTGTGACCAGCAATAGGAAGAAATTTACTTTTGCAGGAAGTTCTACCTTCCGGTGAATACATTTGATAAAAGCAGTACGAGTTCATCTGAACTTGTACTATATGGCTTGTTGGACAAGTTTCCAGAGATAATGCCAGCACTGTTTGCTGATGTCCCACTTCTTTCACTTGCTTCTCACATATTATAGAAGAATGACTTAATGGGCAAAATTCAGAAGCAATTAATATTTGCCAGGGGAAGATTCCTCCAAAACCTCTGAAATAAAGATCTCTACCCTCCCCCGACTTTCTGTTTTTAAAGAAACGCACACAAAAACTACTTGTTTTTGTGCACCTACTGACAAACTGAAGTCTCTGTAAAATATAAAAGCACGACTAAAATAATGCTAGGTGAAGTAATACAACCTTAGCTACAGAGCAGTTGCAGACAGCTCTGTTACATTACACCTTTTATTACAAATTTATCGTGTTTGATATGCATAGTTATGCATATGAGCTAATACCAAGAAAGCGAACAGTCACCATTTTGGGACATGGGTGTTTGAGAATGAGAACATCTATTACTCAATGGAGTGAAGAAAATACTGTCTTCACAAAATTCTTAGCAAAGTTATTCATAATTTTATTACAACAATTCATACAGTATTAGGTTTGCACTATGTCATAAGTGTAACAAACTAGAAAAAATGTACTTGACTCTAAGTTAATATTTTTGTGGTATCCTAACAATTTTCTTTTACGTATTGATTTGTAATCTGATTTGTTATATCTAACCCAAATTTGCTGAGTTGGGTTTTGTGGTTTTGTTTTTTTAAAGCCACTTTAGGAATAAATCCTGGATACTTTACTACCGAATATACTCCTAAATAATGATACATTCTTCGTTATCAATGCTATGATACCCACCACTGTAACTGTACCAGAGTAAGAAATAACATTTGACTGAATTTTGAAGCATATTATTATGCCAGAACATGCCACTGAAGAAGCGTCTTCCCAGATTCAGGCAACTATGTTGGTTAGTATCACGAAGCATTAACAGACCTGAAATAACCGTTCCTGTATAGCAAAAGAGTTACCATATTTTCACTTCTGTTACTCTCTATGCAACACTGCAACTTTTCACTTTTTTTTTTCCCTTATATGATTATATTTATAGGATATACCCTTTATGGATCTAGCCGCAAAATCTACACCTTTTCCTGAAATGCTTAGAAACCCACCAACACATACAAAAAGTTCAAACTATTTTTTCCAACATAGAGAATTATCTCTACTACACTGCTCGGTTGCCTTTCGTTAGGCTCCCTGATTGAAACTAATGAAGTGTAGAAGCAACAACTCTTTGTGAAATTCTGTAGACACTCATTAACCAGGCTGTCCAGCTCTTTCTCCCACAGCACTAACAATGGCGTGAATCCATAGGCACCTTAGGGAATTATTCTGGGTTTTCTAGATACCTTTTCTAAAAATAAGTATATTATTGACTTTCTAAATAGTATCCAGTCACTGACTGGAGCTGTAATCAGCCTGATTTATTAATAAGCACAGTCCCAAAGTGGCAGACATCCTTTTCACGCATACAGATGTGGACCACACTGGCCGTCCCACTGAAGAACTATCTGTTCCATGATCCAGGATGTCTATGTTAAAATACACCAGAGCTCAGAACAGCAGGATCTGCTTCTCTTTGAGCGGACTCCGGTAGTTTACCCTCCCAGTAACAGTGGCTCACAGAACAAGAAAACCCTGAATCTGCCTTTTTGCTTTAGTACAGAATTAAGGAACTCCTTAGGTCCTGCAGGTCATCTGCAGATGGATGACAAACAGCAGTGCAAGTGGATTTGTGTCAACCTATGAAAAACACAAGGGTGTACCCATTATACCATTGGTAACGGGCGAAAGGCTGCAAGACAACAGAGGGAAACACATGTCAACGATTAAAAAGGATCGGTTTTAAGCACCATCCATATCTTTCACGTATCAGTTATCTGCAAGTTCCTACACAGCACACACCTCTGTAGAGCCTGCATTTGTAAAATCCAGTTACATTGCAGTTGCTCCTCTCAATTCTTTTGTCTTTGAAGAAAAATGGAGAACCACTGCTGCCAGTAAAAGCATATGTGCCACTACCTGGCACCTATTTGAATGAGTAGGAAACCTGGAAGCAAGATCTATGCTAATTAGCTGGCTATACTAAGGGTAGGTAGCAAATCTTAAGGGTACAGACATAAACTGAAATAGAAGATTCAGCTTCTTTTGAAGACATTAAAAATTAATTCACACCAAGGCTGACAAGTATGAACATTTTCAGGTTTAAAGACAAATTCATAAGTTCTAAGCCAGAATGAGAATGCCACCCCAACCACAATATCACTAGTACCATGCTGTAAAGCAGAGCCTGTCCTTTTCCATACCTTCTAAATTTTACAGCCTTTGCATGCCCTGAGGGACCAGTCATTAAAAGGTCACTTCAGAAATAAATTACTTTCTCCCTCGTGGCAAGTTTCTGTGAAGCAAAAACGTAAAGTTGACACCTCCCCACAGCAGGGTATTTATTGTCTGTTCCAAAGAGAGCAAGCAGGACTACGATTCTGATGGCAGTAACAGAGGCACACAACAGAAAACAGAAAAATGAGAGAATTGAACAGGCACGGCTGGGAAGACTTCCTCTCTACCATGCACACTACCTCTAGCCATAAGTACAAATAAAGGCAGCAAACAAGCCTTCTCTTCCCACCCCTTTCCTTCTCTACTCATCTCTCTATAAAAGATGCTTCTGAAAACTGAACTCTGCTAGGAGAATTACTAAAATCCTAATCATCAAGAGCAAATGATGCTTGAAACAGACGAACAGGCACGGTAGGCAAATATTTTCACGAAAGCAAATTTCCATAAAAACAAGTTTTTTTTCTTGGGTAAGCCTGTTACTTTAGATAGATTCTCCGCAAAATGGGCATTATTCACAGAACTGCCCTTTTTAGCAGAAAAATAACAAGTAACACTCTGATTTACTGTTACCCTTTCCTGAGTTTACTGAATTCTCTAACACCTGAACACAAAGACTTAGGGTGTAATATACAAGCATTTAAATCAATTTCCTTTTCTCTCACAAGCATCATGAAATTCAAAAGAACAAGACCAAAAGAGTAATATTATTTATAGCCATCGCCCATATGCTCATTCATCATAATGTTGACAGATTTATAAATTGAGTAGACTTGAGTAGGCAATACAATTCAACTAGAACACGCGTAAGTTTGAACAGGCAGCAGCCAACATCCTTCAGTTTGAACAACCTGCCAGAAGACAGGAGAAAGGAAGGGGAAGGACTGGTGCACAGTCCCACAGACTGGGAATACTGAACACATATGAAGCAAAACCAAACACCACTTACTTCAGATTTGGAAGACATGTTTTCCTCCATGTCAGAATCATTGGGATCTACAATATCATCAAACGGTGGCAGAGTAGGCGTCTTCTTCTCCAGTGCATCGTTTTCAATTTTGACTCTCCCCACCTTCAGTTGAGATCTGTCCTTTGTCTGCTTTTTGTCAGCTGAACAAGTAAGAATCAGCGGTGGGGCGCTAGAAAAACTTTTAAATAATGAATCCGAGCTACTTTTTTTTCTTTTCTTTGCAGAAGGTTCATCAGAGTCCAGAACAGAGGGCCTTTTTGTGGGGGTCTTCTTTTCTTGCTGCTGCCCACCTGTTATGGTAAGGATGGGGGTGTTTTCAGATTTTGGCTCCTTGGACATGGGCTTGGGTTCCTTGAAGGCCATCTTAGGAACTATTTTTTCATCTTTTAGTGGTTTGTTTTCTTTGGGTTTCTTAGAGGATTCTTTGGAAGATTTGTTGTGTTCCCTGGAAGGTTCTTTGAAGGCACTTTTATGTTCTTTTGAGTCTTTAGAAGTTTTTTCCTTGTGCTCCTTTGTTAACTTGTGGGTCTTTGAAAAACTGTTACTACTGCTGCTGCTGCTATTTGTGTTCAGAATCCTAGTTGGGTCCTGCAAAAAGGAGATGCAAAATTTTACTTACAAAAAAAAAAAAGGAAAATAACCCTCAAAGCCCCAAAAGACAGACACAATACAGACACAGGATTCATATTAAAAACTTGGAACTGCAGGTTGAAAACCAGAAACTGCAAATACCTATATAAGAACAGATACAAACCCCATCATTTTGGTCAACTTATCTGTTACAAAGTGGTGGAACATGAGCAGTTACCACTGCTTGTCAATATCTGCAAGACAAGTTAGTTTTGATCTTAAGAATTAGACATGCTTTTTGATGAACATGAAGACCGTTTAGGAAATGTTAACCATGACCATTAGTTATCAAGAAAAAACAACATCACAAGGAAAGATCAGGATATGAACCATATACTGTCAACAGAATTACTTCAGGATCAGAGCAAAACATGTGCTCCTGATGACATTTCAGGCAAAGCTTGACTTCTCTACTGTGATCCTCTCTCCAGCTTTTGCCAGATCATTTTGTCATACACAGTAACAACTCAGGGTCCAGCCCGGCTATGGAAGACTTGGTTTGACACACAACATCTCAGCAGTCAATGTCTTTTTATGGAAAACCTCCTTTACTAAAAAAGCTTTCTTCTTTGTATTTATTGCTGCTGTCTCTAAGTATTTAATTGCATTTTTTAAAATTCAACTGTTATAAGTGAGAAGGGTTTCTGAGAGAGTGATGATTCAGAGGTCCTGTAAGATAGGCAAAAGCAGAAAGAGCAGTATCATTCCTCACTCATATATACTTAATTAGGGGTGTCCCAATACACAGTTCTAGAGTCACAGTTTGAATGAAATTCTTAGGTTGAAAGAGAGCATGATGAACAGTACTTACAATAAAGTGTTCTTCCAATATAATTTTTATGCAAAGAAAGCATTATCGGAAATGGGGAACTACTGAAAAGGGTGCTAGTCAGCATAAATATTATAAATGCACTTCTGGGTTTGAGTTTTAATAATTTCGTTGGTTATTCATCCAAGTCCTTCGCAAGCTGCAGACCAAAGTGGTACCCAAAATGCCTCTGTGTAAGATTGGATATGCTTTCATCTGTATAAAATCCACGTACAGATCCCTAGGTCTATTTTATTTTCCAGCAATCCACACTTACCATTCTACAGTGCTAAGAATCTGCTTTTCTTTTTTGACCCTTGTACTGGTTTTGGCTGGGACAGAGTTAATTTTCTTCATAGTAGCTTGTATGGGGCTATGTTTTGGATTTACAATCAAAACCGTGTTGATAGCACACTGACATTTTAGCTATTGCTGAGCAGCATTCATACAGCATCAAGGCCGCCTCTGTTTCTCACACTGCCCTGCCAGCGAGGATGCCGGGGGCGCAGAAGAGGCTGGGAAGGGACACAGCTGGGACAGCGAACCCCAATGGACCAAAGGGATATTCCACACCATATGACGTCACGCTCAGCAATGAAATCTCGGGGGGAGAAGGAGGAAGGAGAGGACATTCGGACTTCGGGCGTTTGTCTTCCCAAGTAACCGTTACGCGTGATGGAGCCCTGCTTTCCTGGAGATGGCTGAACACCTGCCTGCCCATGGGAAGCAGTGAATGAATTCCTTGTTTTGCTTTGCTTGCGCACACGGGTTTTGCTTTACCTTTTAAACTGTCTTTATCTCAACCCACGAGTTTTCTCACTTTTACCCTCCTGATTCTCCCCCATCGCACCAGAGGGGAGTGAGTGAGTGGCTGTGTGGGGCTCAGCTGCCCACCAGGGTTAAAGCACAACAACCCTCTAGTATGTACGTAGATATGGTACGTCTGGCTGTCTAACACTGCTTCAGATTTACAGAACTGCAGAGGGGAAAACATATTTAGTTTTTCTTTCCCCTTACTCAACCACCATTATACCCACAACGTAGATGGGATAGCAGCAGTGCGCTGGAAACTGAAGGACCAAAGCAAGACATGGCCAGCCTCAACCTCCATGGGGGCTGACTAATTTTAAAAATCAGTCAGTAGAACAGCTCTGAAAAAAACCACCCAAGAAAACAAAGCAGAATTAGCCTGTTTAATGAAAGTTGTGTCAACAAGAGGAGAAATTAAGACTGAGAATACCTCCACTTGCGTGCTGCCTGTTGGCAGACAACTGACTACTTATGACTTGTCCAATCGGGATGTGTTAAGCCAGTATTTAATGCTGTAGGACCTGAGCGGTTTACACACATCATATGTGCAAAATGAGCAGTATCTCCCTTCTCCTCTGTAGCAATAGGTGGAAACAATTAACTAAAAGTAATTACTTTGAACTGTTTTTCCCTTCTCATCTTAACTAATTAGTGAAACACTGAACTTTCACACAGTGCTGCAGAAATTATTTAATTGTGCTTTTTGTTCAGATGTTTCTATATGAATCTATATAATATATAGGCATCAACATTAACAATGGGCAGAACCATCATGAACAGTGTTATAATGACATTTGAATGTCTGAACGTAAGGCATTTCCTCATTTCCCAGACCAGTAATTAAAAACAAAAATAAAAAAGCACTAAGCATTCCTTGATATGTTTTACTTCAGTCAAAACTCCTTTCCTGGTGTTTTTTTTTTTAATTAAAAAAAAAGCACCTTATTTTGTTTGATGCAAGACCAGCCTCAAAGGTTGACATATGAACTAATTATTAATGCTTTTATCTCCACATCTTGTTCTACCATGCCAAAGCTGTAAGCGTTGCCATAGGGAGGAATAAAATATGTGCCATTAATAAACTAGATGGAGTTCTTATGTTTCTTATTGGTCTCCTTACCACGTATTTTAAATTGCTCCAAAAGGAGAGACTCATTTTAGTGGTTTTGCAACAGATGAAAGCTGTGAAATAGGTCCTGGGGTACAGTAGTATTAAAACCAATAGGAACTTGAGATCTTTCTTGCTTTTTGGATTTTACACCCAGACTTGTTTCCTCTTTCTACAACATGGAAGCGGATGTTTTCATAGAAATCATAGTACAAGTATATATATGATATAGACATGTATATACACCCCTGCCATGCTCTGAGAGCTACTCTTTCATTAAGACAGCCAACCCATTGCTTTTATATTTGCATTCCTTCTCTAAGTAAAAAAAGACTCTCTTCTTATTTCCTAAGTTTCTGCAATGACCCTAACAGAAGCCAACAATGACAGAGGAAACAGCAAGAGAACATAAAATTTGTAATACAGAAAAAACCCCAAATATATTCACTGGTAAAATATCAAACCTCATGATGAATGTGGAAGGTTGGTGGGGATGAAATGTGGCTAAATATTCACATCATGTACAGCATAAATCTTACTGAAAATCAGAACATACTTTCAATCCATTTTCTTATTTATCAAAAACTAACACTGTGTTTAAATGTTTCTTTTCCTTCTCACCTTAAGAAGTGTTGCAAGAAATAAGGGTGAATGATGTATTTCTGCTAAGAGGGACAAATAAAACTGTCTTTTCTCAAGTTCCTATGTAAAATGGAGATTGTGGGGTTCTGACAGGTAAGATATTTACACACCACAGCTTACATTTGTGTATCCATCAAATATTGAAGTGAATGTTAGACTTTGATACATTGCATAACAAACAACAAAAGAATAATACAGAGGATTATATGCACGTTAAAATACCTGCAGATGTTTTCTTTTCTTAAGCCAAGTAACACCATGTGCCTATAGTACTTCGAGATATATAACCCCTTTCATAGAGCAGTACTAACAGATCTTTAAAAATAAGTATTTTAGAAAGCACAATAAAAATCTAAGTTTTTACCAACAGAGAAAAACTGTGCTACTATGACTGTTGCACTCAACTCCTGCTCAGATTTTGGCTAACACAGCTCATGCTAAGGCCTGATGTATGCTGGGAGCAGCAAGAGCATCATGTAGGCAGGACAGGTGGCCAGAAAGAGCTAAAGGGCCATTATGCAGCCATGATCACCTGCAAATTGCTGTCTCCTGCAGCCATCATTTTTGTCTGGCAGTTTCATCACAATCTGCTAACTTACGGAAATGATATAAACCAAACCTCCAAGCTGGAAGGTATAAAACATGAGCTTACAAAAAAAAACCCCTTTTTGAAGTGGATCCATCAGCAGCTGGACTGCTGAGGCTTTCGTGTTTCCCAGTGTGATACAGGGACGCTCACACCATGACAGGGGAGGAAGGATGAACACTTTCACTGTTGGCTAGGTAACTAATTTTTTTTTTTTTCTCCTAAGTGCATGGATTAAAAATTACAGATTGTAACTTATGAAACCATATGACTTCAGCAGTGAATAAGTGAACTCACATGATAAGACTAGTCTGGGCAAAGGGGACTGAGCCCTGTTCGTCGTGTTTGTTTGTTATATTTCTTAATAAGCTCATGAAATAAAGTTCAAATCACAGAGTATGTTGTCCTGTAAATTTGAGAGATCCAAATGGACCATAACAGCTACTCAACAGGTAACACATTTGCAGATTAAAACACTTCTGTAACTACAAGGCAAAAAATGGTGTTGAACTCTGTATATCTTTCAGGGTCAGATTCTGACTTCACACCACAAACTGTAATTCCCAATTTGGTTGAACATGAGTTTGAATAAGCAGTATCCTCTGGAAATAATTTCAAACCTCTCCAGTTGCTGACAGACATTAGGAACCTAATTAGCAAATGAAGCAATTAGGGGGACAGAGGGGCAGTTCATTACATTTTATGAAGTCATTAAACTGAGCACATTGGCATGGCCTTGCCAGTCTACCGTACTCTGGGTTTAGACTACAAATTTAGGATTAGTAATCATAAAAACATGTATTATTTTCATTTGTAATAAAAAAGCATTTCTTCAAATGTTTTGCCTATAATGTGTCCATCTTAAACCAATGGACTAGAATTAGTCTCAAATATGCCTCCTGCTCTTCAGAGGAAAAGAAGAGGAAGATATCTAAAAGGAATCACTTGCTCAAGGAAATTCAATTTCAGTTGAATACAACTGTGTTTATTATTGAATAAAAACACTAACTGATTGGGGGGGGGACACAACATTTTGAAAGCCTCCACAAATACTGTGGTATTCTTCCACTTGCTAGCTGCATGCAGGAGATGAATTTACCTGCTGCTAGTTCTTCTTACAGATTATTACTGTATTGCATATTTACAAAGCTTTCCACATTTCCGCTTGTCCAGCCCACCAAACCATTATGACCAACAACATCAGGAGTATTAGAAGCAGATGGAGAATTATAAGGCTCACTGGTTCGACAGAGAAAGCAAAAGGGGGGAGCATAAAACCGTATTTATTTTGTTTCTGGTCACACGGGAGTAAGAGCTTTTGGTTGGTTTTTTTTGTAAAGTAAACCTCATTTCACTGCAGCTGACGCTACAGCTCATTCCAAAAGACAATCATCTCAACAAAACTAATCAAGCTGTTTCACTGTACTCTATGTGTGTAGTATTTACATAACACAAACAGGCACAGTAATACAACTGATATAAAAGCAACACAAGTATTTGTAGCTAGTCTGCAGCTATTTTCATATTCTGAAAAAATGCATAAAGTAAGGTTTCATGCATTTCTGCCTGTCCTCTGTATTTCCAAGACTAAAGCTTTGTTTTAGAATCACAATTGTGGGGGTCACTAATACATCTCCATTACATTAAACACAAAATCATGGAATTTCAGAAATACAAACATCTATATTTTTAATACATATTTCAGAAGAGGATGTGAGAGAAAGCAAATTGACAAGTTCTCTCACTTCATACTGTATTGTATTTTTTTATAAGCGAATGCTAAACCAACAATACCACTTCGTTGCACCGGTTTTACTGTCTTGACTGCAATTCTCTCAGAAAGTCTATGTGGTGCTTTGTAATGGCAAACAGGTAAGCAAATATTCTTAGGTTCTGGTTTTCCATACTCAAGAGTTTACAACTGACCTCAAAGTTTACTTTGATACTCACAGACACAAAACAAACCAAAACCAAGACAAGCACAATCAATGGGCTATTGCTGCAGCAGAAAAATCCCCAAATCATCCAGTACAGACACCTGGAGTACACACATCCACTGTCTGGGTAAAGACAACTTACACCCAAGAACTACCAAGACCTTTATACAGCTCCTATTCTAGAGGCATATCTAAATGAAATTTGGATATTGAAGTTGTTCCATCACTAGGGTTATTCCAAATTACAAAAACAAAAATCTATTTACACATTGGCTGGAACTCTCCTGCCCCCCAACCAAAACAAAAACCCTAAAGACAAAAATCCAAGGGTTCTCAGCTCCCAGGATTTATAACAAAAAACCCAATTTTTTTTGTTACACTAAAACCAGGGTTACTTCGTGTTTCCACTTCTCAAAAACAGCTGATGATCCTTAGAAAGGCAGACATTCACAAGTATTCCTTTATGAGATACAAGAACAGTTGCTCATTAATGTGTTTTAAGTTGAACAACAGGAGACAAAGATTGCTGGGGGAGGGGAAAAATTAAATATTCACACCAACTGGCAAGAAACAGTGTATTGATATAACATCTCTTCCCACTATTAAAAACTCCAGTGAACAGCATCCAAGGTTGAAAAAAGAATGATATCAAATAGACTGCATTGCTGCTGAACATCCCTATTTTGAAACAAAATAGTTTAAAAACATTCCTGGGTAACAATTTTACAGATATTGAATACACTCCTGAGATGTGATGCACATCTAACCTCCTACTGACTCCTGTAACTTCCTACTATGGGTCAAACTCATTGAAGGTGGTTGGGTTGCTTCAGCAAAAATGAAAGATTTCAAACATTCATTTATAAGGACGAGTGCAGCAAACATGCAACACTCCCTTCACCCTGCTTCACCCCAACCACACTTCACACTTGTCAGGTTTCTACACCAGACAAAAGTTCATCGTCCGAATACAGTTCAGAAAATTACATCCCACGTTAGCATTTGCTTATGAAAGAATTTACGCTGGAGATTCAAGACTTACCATGGTCTACAGTTACTAGATGAAGCATTAGTGTAGGACTTGGTATCATGTCTGTACTTCCCTGAAGTCCTTCTGCAGGTGTTTGGGTTGCTTACTTAGGTCAAGCCTCAGTATGCCTGCTTTGGCATGCAATGTAAGACATGAGTGAATCAACATTACAGCCAAATCTGAAGAAGTGATTGGAAACTTGAACGCTAGAGAGCTATCCAACCTCACAAGAACCCTAATACAGATCGTAAAGTGTGAAAGTAACTCATTTGCAGTATCCCAGTAGATGGAGACGCATCCTAGTCTAAGCAGTCAGTTATCTTCAGCACCTTGCATCGCTTTGGTGTAGCCAGGTGCCTTCCTTTTAGGCATTAAGCAGTCATTTTAGCTTACCAAAGTAAGCACCTTCACTCTAATCCTCAGATTCAGTCTACCTCAGCTCCTCATTAGGAAAATAAAAATAATCACACATCCATATATCCTTTAAATGTCACAAGAAGACCTGCATTAGAGATTGTGAGGCACTCAGGTGCAATGCAAACCAGGCAGGAACATGTCAAAGAACTTTTTGTCCCCCCTTCTATATATCCTTACTGTTGTGATACATTCTTATCAATGGACACACTTAGGCATACCCATAGCTCATTACCTGACAGTTCTTTCAAGATACAAGATTTGGCACAGCTACAGAACATGAAAGTTATTGATAAAAATGTGTATTGCCCCTTGCAGTATGTGCACTGCAAAATTGAAGTAACATATTTCAAATTGACAAGATGCTAAGAAAGAAAAATCAAAACCCAAACTATTTAACAGAACGGAGAAAAGGCATATAAGTTAATTCATTTATGAAGCAAGCCAATGTGTTGCATTTCTTGTGTGAATAAATAACAAGATGCTCTTTATTCTCCCAGATCATTAATTCATTTTGTCAAACTGAAGAAATTATCTGCTGTTTCGGAAATGTCCATTTTTATTACTGAAAAGGTTCATTGGACTACACCTTTTTACCATGTTCTACGCTGGGATTCAATTTGATGTCCTAGAGACTGATGACACATTGCTATCTTTGAAACACCTAGTAAAGAAGTAACCCCTAAAATTTAAACAAAATTAAAAATCCTAAAGAACACAACTTCAAGTTTCACTCTACCCAATTCTTATCTTATTATTCAAAAACACTTAATAAATGAAACAATCGTTATAGTATTTTCTCATATTATTTACATTTCTGTATATATCACTTCCATCACCAGAATCCCCTAATACTACAACAGACTATTAGAATTCTTTCTGGAAAAGGAGGAAAACAATTGTGTGTGTACAAAAACCAGAAAAGCAGTTCATTGGCACCTGTTCTCACAACCATCCTTGTTCTGCATTATTTTCATGTGGTGAACAGTAAGTTCACAACAAAGAAATGTCAAGACCTATTATCACTGGACTATGTCATGAGATTGCAAAAATACCTAGAAATATTTTTTTTCCTCAAGTTAATTCCCAGGGAAAGCACCACTGGCTCAAAGTATTTCTAGCAAATAAGTCTCACCTTTGGCCCATGAGATGATTTCTTCTTCACTTCAGAAAAAGACAGGGAGTTACTGGGAAGGTTGGGGAGATGAAGGCTCTGTCCTGAAGAGAACGATGTGGCATCTGACATTACCATGATCTGTTATAAGTGGGAAAGGATGTCAGTCAAACATTACCAACAGAGATAGAAAGAGTCTCACCTGCCTAAGGAACTAGCAAATCACATTGGTAGGAGAATAAAACTTCTCCAATGAACAGTATCCATGTTTCTTCTCAACAGGGGATGGGTTAATGAAACCACACTGCCATCCTCTATTTAATGAGCAAATCACATCTTTCAATTTCCATGCAAATACAATGCAAGCCCCTCAGAAAATGGCATAACTTGTTCTATTATGACTGCTTACATGCCATTGCACCTGAGTTCTGAGCACTCTCTCTCTCATCCTGAGCAATGTCTAGTACACTTGAAAGTTCATCCTACCTGCAGTAAAATGTTCTGTAGGCTGCTGACATCCCATAAATATGTATGTGAAGCAGTCTTTGCTTTCAACTAGAGCGATGTGAAGGAAGACTGTAATGGGTATAGGTGGCAAGGTTTGGGTGGCAGGGGTGGCCTCTGCAAGGAGGGGCCAGGGACTCCCCCATGCCAGGCACAGCTGGATCCAGCCAGCTCCAGCGGACCCGCTGCAGGACATGTCTGAGCCCCTCAGGCAAGACAGTGGCACCTCACGGAAAACAGGCTTAAGAAAGGGCAAAACACTGCACAGGCAGAGGAGGTGAGGAAAAAAAAAGTCTGAGAAACTGCAGTGTGAAAACCAAGGTCAAAGAAGGAGGGGAAGAGGTGCTCCCGGCACTGGAAAAGGTATTTCCCTGCAGCTCATGGAAAGCCCATGCTGGAGCAGTTCTTGAAGGACTGCAGCCCACAAAGAGGCCCTGTGCTGGAGCAGGGGGAAAGTGTGAGGAGGGGGGAGTGGCAGAGAGGAGCTGTTATATTATACCCACCACAAAGATACACTGCAAAAACAGCCTGACGTTTTAATGTGAAAGCAGTACAGCTCTAACTTCAGCTTCTAACTTTAAGCTTCTGCTTTATCTCAAGTACAGTAAACTGGGTGGCTGGTGAGCAAGCAGCATTTTTGCTATAACAAGAATCTAGCTCCCTTTCATGATTTTCAGGACTCGTAAGTACAAATAGATCATTTCCAGAGACCACAGATAAATCAGCCATCACAGAACAGTTACCAGACACGTAAAGATTCATGCCTTCCCCCTGAGAGAAACTCAGCTAGCTCCTGTCTTCTGCTCCAGTGCTGCTGTGCCTGGCTTCCTAGCACAGCTATTCATTTATCTGTTGTTTCAAAACCCTAAATGCCAGAGACAGCTTACCTGCTGTCTGACAAGCCCTGCAAAGCTGGAAAGAAGTTGCAGAGCTCTGCACCTACAAGGAAACATCTCTCTCCTTCCACAGATTCCCATGCACGAAGTCACACTTGGTTTTGTGGATGTCCTGTGTGGTCACCCTTGCCACTTCGCATGACCAAAACATCCTCTGATGTTGCAGATGGGCAGAGACTGACCCATCACGTGCCTCATGCACATTACATTGAAGGAGGAATGCAAAATTGGGAATGAATCTTGTTGCAGACAACTTTGTTCAAAAGATCATGTGGTAGCCTGGAGAATATTAAGGGACATGTCTAGGTAATAAAGATTACTTTTTATTGGCCTGTAAGTTGAGCACTACCTTTCAACACTGCTGCTAGAATCCAAAGATGGAGGAAGAAGGCAATCAAGTTGTTCTTCTTTATGAACATAAGTTCATGTTTAAAAAAAAACAATCTTTAAAAGTTATTTATGTATTCAAACATTTTGTGAAGTAAGATTCCACACAGGGCATGTAATATATTTCCTCCCCAATTCCTCATTTGCATTTCTCAGACACCTAAACCAGAGCCTGCCAGGAGCCAGAACTCTCAAAAGTCAGCTGGGCAAAAGCAATGGTGTCCTTCTTTTAATCGTGGTAATGTCAACAGCAATTAGCTATTGTGAATCACAATAAATTATTTCATTTAGCCTGACAAATACTTTTTAACCCTAACTTGCCAAGGGTTTTTGCTGATTTCAACCCAGCTGAATGCAAGAGAAGGCGCAAGCTAACAAAGAACAATCAGCAACAAGGACAAGGAAAATCTGTAGCCACATGTACATACCATAAGCTTGTGCAACAGATAGAGAAAATGCATGTGTCTATCATTATTTCTCTCACAGATTAAGTCAAATGGGTGGTTAAATAAGACTGTTCTCCTTTAAATTAAACTCAATGCAATGTTTTAAACCACAAACTTCATAGAAATTACTAGTTCCATTAAAATCAAATCATCTTTCAGAAAAAGTAGACATAAGGTTTCCCATTAATTATGGAGTTTAAGCAGGTATTTTATTAACACAAAGTACGTTTTTTCATACACTCATACAACAGAAAGACGCATATCCACATGGAAGAGAAATATCGTCAGGAGGATCAGGGTTTGCCCTACCTTGAAATTAAAAGTGAAGAAATAAAAAATTCTGCCAAGGATTCTTTCTCCTAGGGTTGGAAGCTGCCATTTTTCCCCTGAAGCATAAAAGTCTGACTCACTGAAATAAACTGAGGTTCAACCACTGCATAAATTTTCTTATTAAAATTCAGAAACATTCCAGTTTAGAAATATTCATATATTCATCATTATACACAGACATTCTTAGAAAACTGACATTTTAAAAAAGTGTATGGACTTCTGAGATATCTCAGTTTCTGGGCAAGTATTTGGACCATTAACAGTCTGAGTATTACAGACTGTGTGTTTAGAAACAGGATGCCTGTCTATAGAAAGATCTACAGGGCCAGGACGAACAGCATTTGTACCATCTGAGGTCTGGCAGATTTGGCAAATCTAGTTCCACACAGAGAGAAAATAAATCCCGTACAGTTTTTAAAAGACAAAACCTGGACATTCCAAATTGTGAGTGCTAAAAATTTCAGTGTATTGAATCCTGCAGCCTGTTATTTCATTATAAGCCCTATAAAAAAGGCAATTGTAGATGCAAAATGTGATTAACAACATATGCAGTAAGACAGAACTTCAGACTACAGACTTCACTGTCTGTAAAGATGACAAAAGACCAAGAAAATCTCATGTAAAATTAACTTTTTGGCCCCTATGATAAAAAACAACTTGTCTTCCAAACTGATCTCGTCAGAAAAAGGGTATGGTCCTCATTAACATCTCCTATATCAGGAAAAAAAAAAAAATCACTTGCCTTCTCCTCCCTCTCAAAGAATAAAGTTAATATTAAGTAACTCTTCCAAAATGTTTGTTTTCTCTGCCAAGATTATCTATGTAAAAAGCCCCTACATTACAAACACTTTTTGGAATTGAGATGCATTTCCCTTTTGCCTAAATTTAGGAAAGAGATAGCTATACATCCAGTTTAAGTACTACTACTGAGAGCGCTCAGCTGACAGAGTTATAGCAACTTCTGCAGTTGGTTAACTGCCCTTTGTCCTCCCATTAGTCAAACACAGAAACACACAGCCTGGCAGATGTACTTCAGCCAGCTTTCAGAGCAAGTCCCTGCTTTTACATTGCCACTATCACACTGGCAGCATATACTGCTTATGTGTGTATATGTATACAGCTGTATTAAGTCAAGGCTACACAAAAGCAGCAAAAGGTGGGAATGAGCATATCACAGCAAGCCACTAATTCTGCAGCAAGAACGCAAACTCTTCAAGAGCACAGCAAGAGTTCTCCGGTACAGCCAAAAAAAATCTGGACGTTAGTAAAATGTTCTTCACTGAGAGGGTGGTCAGTCACTGGAACAGGCTCCCCAGGGAAGTGGTCACAGCACCAAGCCTGTCAGAGTTCAAGGAGTGTCTGGATGACGCTCTTAGTCATATGGTTTAGTTTCAGGTAGTCCTGTGAGGAGCAGGGAGTTGGACTCGATGATCCTTATGGGTCCCTTTCAACTTGAGACATTCTATGATTCTATGTATCCATGTTGGGTTTTTTGTTATGTTTAAAATGCAGTTAAAAAAGTATATTTTAACTTTTACCTGTTGGCTAGAACTTGATAATCCTCATGAACTGAAATTCTTTGCACCCATAGGAAGCAGCTAATATTACATGATGTGAACGACAACAAGAAATGCTTCTAAAAACAAGCCGTAAAAGGAAGGCTAAAGAAAGTGTGGGCCCACTGCTCAATGGGGCAAGAGACCTCATGACAAAGAACTTGGCTTATGTACTCAATGTTCTTTTAGCCTCTGTTTTCACTAATAAGATCTTGTTTCCTCAGGCCTCCAAGGTACCCAAGCATCCACACAGTCTGTGGTGGTGAGTCAGTGCCCACAAGAAAGGAGGATTGAGTTAGGGAGCACTTCATCCACAGGGACACTCAGGTTCATGAGGCCAGACCAAACGCAAGCAGGGGTACTGAGGAGCTGGTCAGTACCGTTGCAGGGCAGCTCTCTATCATCTTCAAAAGATTGTGGTGATCAGGGAAGGTTCCTGATGACTAAAGGAAGGCAAACATCACAATCATCTTCAAGAAGGAAGATCCAAGGAACTAGAATCCCATCAGTCTCACTTCAGTCCCTGGGAAGAAGATGGAGAAAATCATCCTGGAAGCCACTTCCAGCCACTGGAGGGACAAGAATGTGACTGAGAGCAGTCAGCATAGATTTACTAAGAACAATCCTGCCCAACTTACAGCCAGATCTATGAGATATGGACTGGATAAATAGATGATGAGATGGGTGGAGAATTATCTAGACTGCTGGACCCAAATGGTTCTCTTCAGCTGTGTGAGGTCCAGCTAGAGGCTAGTGACTACTGGTGTCCCTCCAGGATCAACACTTAGTCCAAAACTGTTTAATGTCTTGATTAATGATTCAGCAAGATTGAGTGACTCTCAGCAAGTTCACAGATGATATACAGATAACTATTTTTCAGAGATACCCTGTGCTGTCCAGGAGAAGCTCCACCATACAAACATGACTGTTGGGTTAGAAGATGTTCCAGGAACACAAGAAAAAAGGTTCAATGAGCTGTTCCATAAGGCATACAGAAACTCAGCCAGCAGGTGAGGTGAACT